CTCATACCCTTCCCAATATAAAAAACATGTTGCTCGATCATTTAAATGTCGAAGCGAAAATCCACGGACAGCTTCGTTTTTATTAACTATTTGTAGAATTTGCTTAAAACATAAACTATGTGTCTTAACCTTCCATTCATACAAATTATTTCTAAAACTATACCATCTTTTTTCTTTCCTTAGAACCTTATTTTTCAATCTTTGATCCAGTGTATAGTAAATACATTTTCATGTGTCGTGTGATCTGCACAGAATGTAGAGAATTCTGTGCGTTTGCATTAATATATTTGCATCAACTGACGGTACATAATTTGCACATACTTAATATGTATTTCCCACCTTCCACGTCATGCACCCTTACATTTTTTACCACCTGGTCGTATTTGATGTCTATGCAACATTGCTGTACTCGCAATACAAAAGATTCCTATACCAATTACTCTAACAATATCTTTATAAAAACTCCATCTTTCTCCGAAACTCTCTGATTAGGAAAAGATTTATTTTCCCTCAGAGACTTCTTTGTTTTATTTTAGTTACTACTAACTGTTGCCTAAACAGAGAGAAAACCGATATTAACGTTCAAGTAATAGTCTCAGTGCCTTTTCCAATTCCCAGAGTTCTAATGAATCTCCCTGACTTCCACGAATTTGTAAAGTACTTTTTTTATTAAACAACAGTCATTTTTCCGAAAATATAATCGAAATAAGGGATAGTAGAATATAATCTAACAACAGCATATATAAGTAAATAAATCATTTAATTTTTAAAGAAGTTTTGCAAATTATTTGTATTTTTCCTCAAAGTCCAAAAAGCACAAACACTAGCCAAGGCCTGTTGTAGTATTGAGCAAATGTAGGCATCACTTAAGGACATCAGGATTCGTTGACGCCTGGCTTGCTGATAATCAAAGAAAAAATAGATCTATTATGGGGTACTTTTCCCCTCCTTCCAGTATGCTTTCATGGGGTAACGGTAGCACACTCAGCGCGTATTCGAGAGGTCCAGGTTTTAATTTCAAAGAGGGCATTGCTCATTTTTCATGCCTCCTCTTTCACAAAAACTCTAATATTTCTACACTATAAATTTGTGTTATTCCTTTAACATAAAAACTCTTTTTAGTTCACTAAATAAATAATCTTGAAAATTATCATAAGGGATAAAAAATTAAAAATTAATATAAAAAGTATAGTTCATAAAGAAAATTTTCCAGCTGTTAGAAAAGACATTGATTGTAAGTTGTAATTAAATTTATCTTAAAATTATATGACCAAAAAAAAGTACAAGTATAAAGGTATTAAACATACTAAGACAATATTAGTAATGGTATCATGATACCTTACCAAAGAGACAGAATGGCTAAATAGTGATGGAAGAAGAAAGAAGAAGGTACGCGGGTGGTGAAAATAGAACGAAGAAAATTGGGCAGAATTTATTTCGCACGGTTATTTTCAAGCAAATCCATACTGGTGTTGAAATTTAAGGGACTTTTCACATTTGGTCGTTTATCTGATCAGACAAGATGTTTATCAAGGTCGTTCATCTGAAGGACAAAATATTTGGTATGGACCTCGGTTTATATAACACAAAACATATATCTTACAATAGTCTCGATACATACTCATGACCGTGCATAAATCTCATCTGTGCAGGAAGGTCTAAAATAAAGCCTGAAAGCTTGTACGTGAAAAATGTGCAGTGTCCTCGCTATCATTCGAACTCCAGACTTCCCGATTACGCGATGGACCTGCTATCCAGCACGTAGACATAAGGGAGTAAATATATTACATTCCTCCCTTTTAAAGATAGACTGGCTGAGGATACTTAGTTGCCAAATTCTATTCGTGACCAATTATCGCCCATTTCCCTTTTAGTCCAAAGGTCACTTATAGAGTCTTCTTTAGAGTTTTCCGAAGCAAGGAAATCGAAGAAATTCACAATACCCTCTCCAAGATTCGATACCTGGGCCTCCGACTTACGCAGCGGACGGGCTTCCTCTTTGCGGAAAGGAGAGAGGAAATACCTTATAAGTTCAAACAATAAAGGATGCTGATAGAAGGCATGGCTCTCTCTAACACTCATACAGCTTTTAATAACATATTTTCATTCTAGAAATGAGGCAGGTTTTGAACTTGTGAGCAGAGGGTTTCACTTTTGCAGCAAAGTTATTTCTTAGTTCAGAAGGTTCTGGGAGAGGAAGACAGACATGCAGTTGTTCTTCCAAGAGCGTTCCAGCATCTCTTATAGTGTTCAAATGTTAAGATCTTGCTCTTAAATCAGTAAGGTCAGTATTCTCACGTTCCAGAAATTCATCTACTAGATTTGCCCTACGTGAATGAGCACTGACGTCCAAAACATTAAAATTAGAACTAAATGCGCCCCTGATAGGGCAAATATGTGACTTTAAGATCTCGAAATAGTCAAAGAGCATTTGTTAACGTTTCCAGCTTAGACCATCCAACTTCCTGCTCCTAATCTAGTCCCTTTTCACATTTTTGAGGAGATGAACAGGTTTTTGGTTCTTTTCCAGTTAAAAGTACGTCCAGAATCAATTGTTAAGCTAGTTAGGGATTCACCTGTGAGGAAAATCATTCTCCATCTGTGCTTGTTTTGATTTTGTACTCTGTGCACCATGTCAATATTAAGTTGTCAGTGGATATTCCCTGCGTGTTAAACGGCACTTTTCTGCGCGGGAAGCGAACTGGACGCAAACAGAGCTCTCTCATATGTCCTTCTAGAAATATTAACCTTGAAACTCGGCTTACTGTAACCACGCGAAGGTCACAAAAGAATCGATAAGCTGTTGCATTCCTGTTACACCTCCCTAAAATTGACAAAAATCGATTTCCATTAGCCGCCGTGTCCCCTGCATAAACTTGCCTAGACTTTCGTTTTGCAAATCCGGGATCCTTCAACTGTTCCGTTAAGTTGCATATGATGCTGTAGTTATAAAACAGCAAAATCTGCATTTGAGACTACCCTCTTTCGAGTCTCCCAATGATTCTCCACCTCATTACATGATCCATGTTTTGGTGGTTTCTCATTTAAATTATTTGGAGTTTCACCAAATGCTGCAAAAATACGCTATGAAAGTAGACAAGAAATGCAAGCAGAGGAAGCGTGGGGAATGTTAAGTGTGCTATTAACGATTTTTATCCTACCAAAATGTACTACCATCACATGCGCTTGTACGCTTGCGTATTCGCCACTAAATATTTGGAATTTTTTATTTAAAAACATATCCCCTCCGAGGATCGACTGGAGGGAGGCAAATCCAGCGTAATGGCTAAGACCTGTACCTACAGACTCGACTTCTGATGTAGATAATGAGTGTTTACAGTGACTAGAACCATCGTTTTATTCAGTGGTAGGTTCAGGTTCGGCAGGTACTGTACTTATCTGCCCCTTGGTTGTGGGCACATTACATGGTTTGATATCGAAGGTTGTCTTTAGGGGTTTGTCTCCTCTTGTTCAACACAGGGGAGCAGAGTACATTGTTCTGTGTTCTCTTTGTTGGAGATTACGTCATTGACTTGTGTTCTTGTTCCTAGACTTTATGCATTTCTGTCACCCTGGATTGATTGAGAGGGTTATGTCTCCTTGGATCACCTCTAGAGGCTGGGCATTATAACTGTGCAAAGCATGTAATAAGCCAGGTCTGGGAACCCCTTCTCCCTAGTGTACAATGTACTGTATTATACTGTATTATTTGAAAGCATAACTTGTACATTTCTTTCAATACATTTCGACAAATTCGCCAAAATATATAAATTCTGTTAATTTTATAAGCACCAGCTAAGATACAAAATAACAATACAATTGAAATTAAAGCAGTGTATTTAATGTTTGGTATTGTTGAGTTGCATTGGTTATTAAAGTAAATCTGTGCCTTTTTTATCAGAAAGGTTTTTAGAAGTCTGTGTTACAGAAACTTTAACATTATGTTTTATTATAGATGGTTTTATAGATCTGTCACTGTTGGCTGAATGTGTGGTTGAAATTGGAGTACAGAAAATTATATTTTTGATTATGGAATTTATTTACTAATAACTGTTTATTCTATTGGATTGGGCTGCTAATGTGAACTGTTAACGAATTAATAAAAGGTAATGTGTGTGGCTTAGTAATTTGCTTCGAGTCTAACTTTTAAAAATAATTATAATTATATAGTGTTTAATTGGTATCTCAGGCAATGGATTTTAAAATCATTAAAGATGGAATCAGCTTACCATACGCACACGAAAATTCGAAGATTAAAAGAGTGCTGAAAAGCAAGTATCTTTTAAAAACATATTTGCCGAGATGATAGCAAATGCTACTGTAATCCGTTAGATAATTCCATGTACAGTTTCAGTTAATTTATTGGAGGAGAATTATACAGCCACAAAATAAACCAGATTAAAAATATCGAAGGAATAATCTACAAATTGTATGAGTATTCTTGGTTCTGAAGCTGATTGTTATACATTCACAAAAATGATATGATTTTTCACATTCAAACTATATTGATCTAGCAACAAAATGTCTCTTTAAATTTCTCTATCAAACATTTATGTCAGCTGGTAACTAAACATTGATTTGGCAGGATTTACGATTTTGACTTCCAATAATAACAATTAACTAAATGTTTCTATTATTGACTGACCACGTATCTGAAATTTATTGCTTCAAGGCACTTTTAAGATTTCTTTACAAAAATATATTATTAACATTAAAAAATTATTTTTTATTTTTATCTAATAATAATAATTAACAGGTTTTATAAATAAAATATGTTAAGTATGCAATAAGTTTTACTTGGAAAATATTTATGTAATTTAAAATAAAAATTGTTTTTCGTTGTGGAAAACGTTTTACTTCTCTTATCCTTACGGAGGCTTTATAGATGAACATTTAAATTTTTGTTAAATAATAACAGTGCTTGTTTAATTTTTAATTAAAATGTTCTGTCAAACAAATATTGTTACTGTCAAATCTGGAATACAATGAAAATACAAAACTCGTTGCAGAACAGAATATTTATTATATTATGTACATATTACATGTTAAACAAAGGGCCACACGTGTGAAATTTTTTCACGGCCCAGATTATTTCAACAAGGATTAAGAAAACATCAACATTTTCTAGTCTCGTCTTCGTAAAGAATATATACAGTCCCATTCATTCAATTAACACAATACTAGTTTGTAAAAAACAAATGAATAATCAACAAGATCAAAACAAACTTCATTTAGTTTCTGAATGGTTGATTGAGAATCTTTAAGAAACACCAGCAAAATCCTTATCTTATATATTTTTTTAACATTTCAGTGCACACATAAGCTAGTAAAATTTAAAGAATTACGATTTTAGAAACAGGATCATTTAAATGATTTCAATACAGTCGAAATAGTGTATCTGTATGTAAGCATATTTTACGTGTGCATTTAAATTGTTCCTTACGGAAATGTTAACTTGTTCTGTCTATATACCGAATCTATAGATTAGATTTTTTTTTCGCTTGATCTGTTTATACTGAGCGAATGGAACATTTGAGGTTACATTTGATTTACACTTAATACGCTGTAAAAGAAATGAACTTCGACTTTTAGATTATATTTATCCGAAAAGGTACGTATAAGTACGTATCCGAAAGGTACGTATAAGAACGAAGAAGGGGGATTCATATCTGATCGCGCTGGAAAATGATAGAGTTTTAATCGAAGCCTCCACTAATCTGAGTTTCATTCTCTTATTTAATTTTAAATTATACATTGGGTTGTTCCTCTTACAGTAAGATAAGATTTATATGTTAATGGTTCTGTAAGATGAATAATTAAATGCTCTAAACACCGAATCTGGAAAAAGAACCTAACTCCTAAAAGAATTTTGAATTTTCGAATCTCTCGAAACTATTAAATAAGCATAAAAAGAAGAAGGAGGAAAGAAGCTTTTTTTATATTAGAAAATTTTAAATAAAGTGAAATTTTATATCTGTCTTTGACGGGGGAAAAATTAAGGTCAGAGTTTTTTTTAAATGCATATATAGCTATTGAGCAGACACTAATGAAAACATAATTAGAATTCTTGAATCTTAAGATAATTTTCTCAGCATAATATGACAAACTAACTAATTTGTCAACTAACAACAAATTTGTAAACAACAGTTCGAAACTAACAGTTCGAAATTAAACAGTTTCGGCTAACTAGTTCGCCCGTAAGATAACTGGAGTTATGTGCGTCATGTAGACTTAATAGATCATGGCATGAATTGCTATAAACATCCAAGACCTAGTTGGTTATTATCTACGCCAAGAATTATAGAGATGATTCGAGAATTTCAAAACGTTTTGATTATTTAAAACTTTCAGCAGAATTCTTTAGATAGCATACTGAGTCAGTGTGCCACTTACGCCGTAAATGAAATGATTCTGGTCTTTAAATCAACAACGCTTTTGATGGACTTCGATAAAACTAATCTTTCCAAAGTTTTGAGGTGAAAAAATTTTAAATTGAGATTCGAATGACCAAAAGAAGTGAAAATTCTAATCTCGAATGTTAGCATTCGATGATCAGAATGCTCTTTCCTGCTTAATATGTTTTTAAATGTTAAGGTGCGCATATAAGATTCATATCATTTACAGAAGGAGTATCGTCTTACTCTAGAGCTAATACGATAATAGTAAAATTAAAAAACACATTTTTCCTTTTAATCAAATATTCAGTTGATATAGGAAATAATTCATTTATATATCTTATTAAATAAAAGGGCTATTGCGCCTGATGCTCACATTCACATGTTTGAATAGCATATAATTACTCAATATCGTTATTACTTTTTTTATCAGCCAAAATATATCTTAGATGCAAAACTTTTTTTATAATTCGAATTTTTCAAAACAAGTAAAACATTCATACCACGCTTACTAACTTCAAAACATATTTCATTGAATTTGCATGAAAAATCATCATTCTAGTTATTCTGACAGACACATAAAAACATAAGAATTTGCTCAAAATAATTCTTACAATCTGTTAAATATTTTAAGCATTCTGAAACATTTCAGGACTATATTTATACAATTTTCCTTGCTTCTCACGCACACGTTTCAGAATATTTGCACTATTTTTGCACTGAGACTTTGAACTTTAAAACATCGAACTTGTATAACCGTTTCATAGAAGTGGTGCAAAAATTTGAGAAAGTGCTGACATGTTTTGTCCTTTAACACTAATGTAATTCTTGTTACAGTCTTCTCTAACACCCATGGCATCTGACAATTATGGTCCCTTAACATTAAGCTAGACATCGAGAAAGTTACACAGAACGCTTCTGAAGTGGACTTTGACAAGTGTAGTTTATAGTTTTATTTACACATATTTACAGAAGTATTTACATGAGAAAGGGCCGAAGGTTTTTCAATTCGTTGGATTGTATTTCATGTGGTACATGTAAAGATAACAAAAAGGTAAGCACATCCATAGTGGTATGATCAATGATATCTCATGTAAATGCAATTGTCATATACTTATGCCATTTTTGAAATAATGGAACAGTCACCTTTAGCCACTGTGAAGCATAATAGTGGAATGATAAGTCATATTTTCATGTGAAAGTAACTCTAATATACACATGGCATTTTAGACACAATGAAGTCCTTAGAAGTTTCATGCAGATAAGAACAATAATAACATCAATGGAGCAACAACGTAAAGCATATCTATAACAACTTCCTATTTGAATTCCCTATACAACAAGCGCGCCTAGAGATTCATAAACATTTGAGAATGTTTACCTTTCTTAGAAAACTTCTCTTTTGGCACTTAATCAGAAAATCTAAGTGGTATTGGTGACAAAAAGATTTAGATTTGATTAGACCTGTCACAACCGAGTAGGCATTAAAATGGGGAAACTTATAAGCAGTTATTAGTTTAAAAAATAATGTTTAAGAAAAATGAAAACAAAATATTTGAATAACTTTAAAGTAAACAAGAAATTGGAGAACATTTGATTATTAATGTAATCGCCATTCAGTGTCATGTAAGGTTATAAAATTCAAATATTTAATTTCAAATAAATGTTCAGTTGGAAAGGAATGACACTCGGAGTAGAACTGAGTGTAAGAAAACACAATATTGATTGATACAGATATGATTTTAAAAGAAGCGTTTTAACCTCTTCATAACTTTTTCAACAGCAACTAAAAGAAAAGTTTCACAAACAGAAAGATAGGTTGATGAAATTTAAAGAACATGATAGAAACAAGTCACAGTGTCCTCTGAAATGAAGACAGAGAAGAGGAAAGAACGAAGCAAAAAACATGTTGCCAACATAGGAAAGGAAAGTGTAGTAAGAAATTATCTGTTTATAGATGGGCGGGGAAAATGGGTTAGAATTTGAGTCATTCACCAGTGCAAACAGATTATTATGGATATATGAAGCCTCAAAAAATCTAATTCGCCAACTGAGGAAATGTGTTGGGCGATTTTGGCAGATGCAAAATTAAGGTTTGCAGTCCAACAATGCTAGGCTATAAAAGACTTATTTTTTCCCAAACCTATGACTCATGTTTACATATATGAAATTCCAAAGCTCGTTTGTTTCCTAAATATATCTCAAGCCGCACTAACAACGAATGGATATTTTTAATATTAATAATAATAATTTTTAATATTAATAATTTTTAATATGTTCTTGAAATTTCTGTTTGTGATACTTGCCTTTCATTTAGTTGCAATTGAAGAAAGCGGTCGTGTTTGAATCGCTGAAACTGCTTCTGCTAAAGTAAATCTGCGTCGAACAGTTTTGTGTTTTCTTACACTTAAAAACCTGCAGTTATCATGAGTGGGAAAAATTTCTTTTATTCACAATTATTTTAATTTATGATAGTAACGAATCTTTTAGCAATTTTAATTTGTTAGCCGGCAGATCTAGGATATGTTTAAAATCCAGAGCAAGCCATTTTTAATTATTTTGCAAAAAATATTGCTCCTATTATTGATGTGAAATATTGCTTGATCTATCACTCGGCAGAATTTTCTCTTTCAACTTTTATAAATGGTCAAATTTGTTTTTTAATTTTAATATAATAAAAGAAAAAAGACTTTTGAATATCCAGTTTTAGTATATTTAATTATATTACATGGTGTTAAAATTATAATACGTTTAAAAGTGTTACATTATGTTTTCAAATGTTGATTTTATTAGTTATATGTAGTTTATTGCATATATTTTGATTTGGTTACTTATATATAGTTTGATAAAGTACATGTATAATTGTTTATATTCACCATAAACTCTCTGTAATTAAGAAACTATACTAGGAAATAAAATTGCAGAATTCTTTCTCTGTTGTAAAAACGCTTCCTTATTTAATAAATGTTCCTTTCAATTACTTTTAGAAGGACACTTAACTAAAACAATAACAACTATTAGATAAAAATTTATCATTATTGATAATATGATGGTTTTCATTACTATTTAAAGTTACAAAGTAAATAATAGTTTGAACTTAACAATAAGACTAAGTTAAGTTAACAATAAGACTTTAATACATTGTACCAGTAGAGTTTTGTCAAATTGATTGATAATCATATTACTATACATTTATAATGCAAGTATTTTGAGAGTAATATATTTTCGAAACAGAAGTTTTTTGTCGAAATTTATGTTTCAACAATTTTTGTAGAGTTTCCCAAGCAAAAATATTTTCTACCCTAAAATTAGAAATATAAAAGAAAAGCAGCAACTAAGCATATTATTCGGTAAAATATTTTAACACAAATGTTATTAACGAAAGATTTAATTAATAATGTTTTCAAATGAGTAAGGAACTTTATATGTAGGGGAGGGGGCTGATCTGAAACTTTTTAAGACTAACATCTGCAGAACGTATTATTAACTTGATTGGGTCTTCATTTATGATTTAAATAAAATATGACTTTATTCTATTAAATTGCATTTAAAATATGACGTAAAATACAACTGACTTGCGATTAAAAATATAACTATTCTTTTCGATTTTAAATTAAATAAATGAATAATGATTTGTGAACAAAGATTATAACAAAAAATTACATAAATCATTTTTAATATTCTAATTTGAAAGTTATAGCCAAATTTTATTCTCTTCTGAAATATTTCTTAAGAGCAATGAAATTTACCTAAATTAATTACTCTTAAATTAATATCCAAAATTTTTATACGTCATAATGAGCAATATGTTGCTCAAGTAAAATATAAGAATTACTTAAATATTAAAATTTTTAAAACCCTTATTGTCTTTCAAAAACGATCTTGTCACTGTTACACTTCATACAGTAATAAATATAAATGCAGATTTTGATATTAAAATACTAAAAATTCGTAATAATATTAAAGTACTAAAAAACGTTAAAATAAAATGTATTATCATTAAAAATTACTTCTTTTAAATAGATAACTTTTGTAATAAAATGGACAAAATAGATTGAAATTTTAATATTATAAAATGATATTTCTAACAATTCTAAAATTTAATTTTTTTATTAAAGTACAATTCCTTATTCAATTAGCAGACTGTTTTTACTCTAGCATTGAAGAAAACGTATTTAAATTTATTTTTAAATTGAAATAAAATAACACGGTACAGTTTCTACAAAACTGAAATCTTCATCATTCTGCAGACGATTCTTAATTTCATGATTAAATATTTCTGGATAAAATTTTATTTGTTCTCCATTATTTAATTAAATAACACTGGAATTTAAAATACTTCTGTGCAACTTCACATTCATGTAGCACCTTATTATTAGCATAATTTAACGCTTAAATGAGACAGAAAAAATTGGGAACAGAATACTTTAAATCTGTAGCTCTTATTTAGAACTGATTTAAATGCAGCATAAGTAATAATAAAAATCTAAATCTAATAGTTGATTCATATTTACAGCAAAGGAATTTATAGCAGATGTTTCTTATGTCTAATACATATACTTTGTTTGATATTATTAAGAAATGTTTTTAAAATATGTGTCTTTAAATTAATGCAAAGACTTTTGAAAAATATGTTACTTAATTATCAGTTCTAAGCAAAATTCTAAATAAATAATATTAAATAACGCATGTAAATATGAAGTAAATATAAAAACAAAATTAAGAAATTATTCTTTAAAACACTTTATGTAGAATTAATTGAAATTTGCATATCGTCCTAATATTATGATACATTCGAAAATGCTACACAAACGTTAATTACTGATGTACACAACAATATAAAGTACCAACCTATAAAACTTAAATAAATTTATTATTTAGTATGGAATATCGAAATCTGAATTCCCGAATATTTGTTAAATATCAAATCACTTACCGATTATTTCATGATTTTATTTATTTATTTCATAATTTTATTAGTTAATAAATATTCAATGCATCATTGTCCTTTACAAATAATGAGCAACAAATGATAATCTCTTATTGAAATTATCATTAACTACTGAGGATTCTTTCTTATTTAAAATAACGGAACTTTCTTGTTGAGTGGAATTTTCTCGAGAAATTACATCAAGAGTCTTTTTTCTCTAACTATAATATCAGATTAGAAAATTATAAAAGAATATAAATGTATATACATTAAAAAAGTTAATCACCCTAAAGGTGAAGAACGTAGTTTATTAAGATACAATTCTTCGTAAGACAAATACACTACCGAGGATAAGTTTCATCCATGGATTTAAACCAGTCATCAAGCAGCAATTACTCGAATACCAAGCAATACAACAACCATCATTGGTGCACCACTGGTAGCAAGAAACTACAGCCAGTGAGAAATTAAAACTTAGAAAATACATAAAAAGTACAAGGAGCTGTTATCGAAAAAAAACCGACCGAAGCCTAACAGTTCACAGCCTGTCATTATCTACATTCAACATATGCAGAAAATGAAATCTAAAATAATCTAAATACCTCAAAGCGTAACTGACTTCAATGTGTTTTATTTAATTATGCATTACCTGAAAGTCTACGAGCTTGGGGGGAAACACTTAATACAGGAAATAACGAATGACTTAGAAACTAAATTGGACAAAATAAAACGAAGTATATTTTTGTGATTTATTTTTTAAAACTATTTGTATTCGCGTGTATTCATATTTGTGCATCCGAGCGGCTTAGAGAGTCGTTTCGGCTCAAATAGGGGGGTGATGGGGGTTGGCTGCTTGCTTTGTACTCTGTACCCTTTGAGTACTGGAAAAGTTGCTACCATTATGCAGCACAAGACGAACGATATGCGGCAACTCAGTACACCGTCGGCTCTTGGTAGCTTGGGCTGAGTTCAAAATATCTTATAAACGAAGAATATGTCCCATTAGTTTCTTCATCTTTTCGGTAAACTCACTCTAACTACTGGAAACTACTCATGGAAAGACGAACCACTGTTTCAGGTTTTTTCGTGCAGACGCATCCCCATCTAGAAGAAAAGAAGAAAAAAAGAAAATCACATTAAGCTTTAGAAGATGGTTTGAAAATAAATAAACAATGCACACAACATTTCTTATTATAATATGGGAAATACGAACAAAACTAGTAGCTTCTTATACAAAAGTAAAGCACATCTAATAAAAACAAATCCGATATTTACATGATACGAAAAGCATCATGCTCTTATGTAACCAAAACACCACTCATATATAGTATACTAGAAAGACCGGCGGTCATACGAAATGACCGCTATTCTAGATATTATAAATTGTAATTAAAATGATTTGTGCAAAGGTGTCTGCTAATTCAAACTGAATTACCCAGGGCAGGCGGCGAGGACGCCCCTTTGCCTACTGCCCCTCGGGGTTTTCACCTGCTACTTGCTTGAAATAAGAGTGCAATGAAGGAAACCAATGGCGATACATTTCTTAAGAGCCGCCGCTAGCTCAAATAAAGGTGATGTAAATAATAAGATGTCAATTCACATGCCAAAGATCTCTTTGTACACAACATTTCTTGTGTAGATCTTTCCATCATTTTTATGCTCGCGTTGCAGAGGATCATCCATTATTTTTAATTTTACGTCCGTTCTTTCACGAACTCTTGAACAGGCAACATAAAGTTGACCGTGTCCAAATGCAGGCTCAGGTAAAAAAAATGCCAACACGCTTAAGTGTTTGGCCCTGAGATTTTATTTATGGTAATACCAAAGGCAAGTTTTACAGGAAATTGTCTACGTCTCAATTGAGACGGCAACCCTGTGCCGTGGCAACTTCACACCAATGCTAGTACAGTTACGAAAGCTACCAATAAACTATCGGCAACAAGCAGACACTTAAGTCGCATATAATAAATATATTTATTAGTCCAAAGGGATTTGAATCCCGAAGGACTATTAGTTTCGTTCTGGCATTTTGCGTCGGACTCATAAGATGTCGGTTCACTTTTCAACTGTTTGCCACAAAATGTTAGAGTCCTGCATTATATTGAAGAAATTAAATAATGAAAAATCTGCATAAATGTATGTATATTTCTCGTATTGTGATTAAAACAACGGTACATAGAGTCATCGAATTGTGAATAACGTAATCCTCCAACGAATATGAGCATGTGGAAGACCAATTTGAAATTTGAAATTTGTTTTATGATCGATTTCCTATTTTTTCAAAACTTTGACGAATTTTTGATTAACAAACTCAAGGATTTCAAAGCGAGCAATGGCAACGTTGTGCAGAAAAAACATTTTTATCTCCAGCGCGTGAGTCTCTGTATCGGAAATTCTAAAGATATGCTCGTTTTTAAAAACTATTTTGCGATATTGCTGTTGCACTGGATCTTATGGTTTAAGTGCGAGGAACATGATATTTAATAAAGAAAGGTAACACACAAAATGTTAAAAAACGCCCCTTTGGACGTAATTTAAAATCTGAAACATTTCAGATTTTTTTTTTTATAAATTTATGGTCTTTATTTATTTCATTTTATTCGTTTTTTCATCGTTGCCGGTTTTTACCGGTTGCATATTTCCGAATTCTATTATAGACGTTAAATTTATTTGTACGTGCTCTTGTATTTTTAATTTTTCCGGTTTAGCTTTCTCATAATATTCGTCACGCACTGCACTGCACGGGGAATAAAACAATTTACAATTACGCAAGCAACCAATAAACTATCGGCGAGAAACACTTAAGTCGCTTATATGAAATCACCTCATATGCGGTCAGGTCGTAAATTTAGAACCCCTTTTTTCACGAGGGGCTGAAAAGGAGGGGATAATCTTGCTCGTGGTCTTGAGAAAATGTGGGGGTCGTTTAAACATCTAACTTCTCTACATTCAGTTTTTATACAGAGGAAAATACAAATTGAATTCTTCGAATGAACGCAGTTTTGTACAATGAAAATGTATTAATTGAACTATAATCTGTAAGGCAAATAACATTTTTTTTTTTTTTTTTTTTTTTTTTTTTTTTTTTTTTTTAAGTAGGAGTAGAAAGACAGATATTTGTTACACGAATGAATTTGTAGTAAATATTGAGTTTTTCATTTCGAATGCTATGTTCCATGTATGCGAAGTAGCTGAGTATGTGAGAGATAATAGTCATAACCCGAATGGCTTTCAACCTTTTCACGGCTAAGGACTGTTTTCTCAATTACATTGTGGTCGCTGCTTTTTGGTTAATTTTTTAATCACATATAAACATTAAATTGTTTTTAATTTGAGACTTATGAATAACATAACGCAAACTAGACTGCAGAAAATTCTTCAGAATGAAGTTAATACTGGAAAATACATTTATGCTATTATCCAATTTTATCCTACAACAGATCTTTTAAAAAATGTGGAATTAGCAGTGCACCAGGTGGAAATAAGGATGACATTGTGTTTTAGGAAAGCGGCAAATCTACTTACAGCGACAACCTAAGTAAAAATAACTATGATTTTAGTAACAGTGATGACGAATTTCTGGGATTCTAAGAAACGCTTATGTATTTGCTAATTTTTAAATGCAACAGTTCCGTTTTCGTTGTATAAATAGTTATCATTAAAATAGGTACTTAATCCTTTTCCGGCTAAGTATTTTTCCCAAGTAGTTTTAACCTGATAAACCACTGCGCGTCTTACAGGCCAGGAAATTGAGGTATAGTATAAATCGCCCTTCATTTCGTATCAGTGCCGACGATTTCGATGAAAAAGGGTACCTTTTTAAAAACGAAATTCTTAACGAAGAAAAGCCGTTTTATGTACAGCATAATGTCTAAAAATACCGTCAAATTAAACAGTAATCTTGACTTTAATGCTTTTGTATGCATTTCTTGAATTGATTAATAAATGTAAATTTGTAATTTAAAAAAATGTATAATATTTTATTTAGTTACATGCTAGTTATCTGTCTTATCGCTTCGTTTCTGGTATAGACCCCCCCCTCCCAGAAAAAAGCGTTTTGCTCCTCGATCGCAAAAATTTCTCGATTTTCCATTACTTAACTAGTGGAATTTCCTAGTTCCCCTCCCCCCCCAATAAAATTACAACTCTGCGACAACAACTGAGTGAAATATTTGCAGCTCTCTACACATAAATTGAATGTTTATTTAAAAATATTTTCAATAAAATATTTTCTAATTTTTATATCCCTTTTCTAGTTTATATGAAATTTCAAAATTTAACGATATCAGTTAATGAAATACTTGCAAGTAATATAATGGTTCTGAGAAGTATATTCTTGATTCCAAACCCTTACTGCTAGGCATCAGCCCATCGCTCTTAGAATACATTATTAGTCCAAAGGGGCAATTTGCCCAGAAGGATTATTAATTTCATTTTGGGGCCCACCAGCGGCCGAGCGGTAAAGTCGCTGAACACTGGTAGTTCGGTCCGAGGTTCGAATCCCGCGAACGGGCTGGCTGCATGGGCGTTTTCGTGGTTTTCCCCATGTGTAACGTGTATACGAGCCAGTTTCCCTTAGAAAGTCCTCCACGAAAGGCATCCCTCCCCTTAGGCAGATAGCCCTCGTGTGCTTTGCCATAATTAAATACACCAATTTCATTTTGGCATTTTGCGTTGAAAACTATAAACGGCGAATCACTTTTCAAATTGTTGCCGCCAAATATTATCGCCTTGTATTATATTTAAAGAAATTAAATAATGAAGAGTCTGCATGAATGTATGTATGTTTCTCGCTTATGATAAAACGACGGTACCTAGAACCATCAAAACTTCGGCGTCTGAAAAGCCCTATATGAATTTAAAATTTGTTTTATTATCGATTTCATATTTTATAACACTTCAAAGAATTTTTGATTAACAAACTCAGCAATTTCAAAGCGAGAAATGGCAACACTGTACTAAAAAAAAATCTATTAAGCGCGCGATATATATTCCTGATATACTGATACTGAATGAGACCTAAAAACACTTTTCTTTTAAAATATATCTTCCCTTATGATCCCTAACACAGCCGTTTACTTTCCCCTTCCGTAATTAACGTCAGTCTCCTGCTCTCGACCGCATTTGCAAAGCCACCGCTTATATATATATAGATAAGTCAGCAATTTATATAAATAAAAAGCAACAAACAAAACAAAGATATACAAATTGCATCGATAAATACAGCACACAAAAAGGAAATATTGAGATGTAAGCGCTAATACGCAAATAAAAAAAATTACAAGTTCTTTTGTACACCAGAAAAGGAAATGTATAAAAAACATTTTAGTATGAATTAAATCAGTTCATTCTTTTCAAGCAATAACCGATTCGTAAATAATATTTTTGTTGCCAAACCACGAAAAAAAAACTTTCGACACTTCAAGTACGCGTATGACATTATGATCTAAATTTAATGTAATATAACGACTTTTTCCCAATAAAAGTAAAAGAATTAACGCCACAATAACATATCGGGTAAATTATGCTAACCTAAAACAAAAAAAAAAAAAAAAAAAAAAAAAAAAAAAAAAAGTTAAAAACAGCGGGTATTTATTTAAAACGCTGACATTAACGAAACATTTTCGACATACAATGACGTCACATGTAATCGCGTACTTTTCTTAACATCAGAATATGACCTTGATTTTTTATCTTCAGTGTCTGAGACTGTTTGTTGCCACTCGGAAAAATAGAGCGAAAGTTAGCGTTTTCAGAGTTTTTAATTAATATCTCGGCTGATTAAAGTCGAACGAAGATGAAAATGATCGAAATGGCTTCCCGAGAGTGCCTTTCTCGAACTTCAACTTCCCGCCGTTCCGGAGAAGATAATGTTACAAACAAACAGACAGACACCCGCAGATTTTAATAGCATAGAATATAGATGGTTCCGAGTTAAGTCTCAACGTATTGCACCAATTTTCGCTCTTTAGATCAAATTTATTTTCTAACTGAGCAAACGTAATAATAAAGATAAATGTATTGCTTCTAAATCCACAAGGTCAAAGATTTGATTGCATTTATCTGTTTGGGATAGAATTGTTCCTTAACCTGTACATACTTCA